AGTTTATCTGGAGCCGTAATCACAAAGAATTTTATCTTACCACAAGGAGTACTCCTAAACCGCACTTAAATATGTTTTCTCTTAAGTTATTCACAACGCCTTTCAGACCCACCCTTAGTAAGGACAAATGAAACTCCTACACTAACAGTGTTGAGTCTTCCTTGCTATGGATGACGTCAATTCTCATGCACATTCACAAAGAATTTTAAGGCTAAAAGTAGCTCTAACTGACGAATTTAGGAGCAACTCCTAAAAATAATGGGTGTGTCACTCCTAACTTTAGGACTTTTTTTTTTCACTATTATTTTCCTAACTCACTGAGACCCATTCACACAGGACTGTAGCGACACAAGCGGGAATCCTGCAAACAAATCCTCCTTATGCTTAGTTTTCCTTGATATCCCAGTGCCGAATTTCCCTTTTATTATGATGTTGTTGTTGTTGTTTTCAGCACCAACTGCCCAGCAGCAGTAACCGATCCTGTGTCCAGTTGGGCTTTCTTTTCCGTTCATAATCCACAGTCATTCAACCATTACATTACTTCAACATTTCCTTGCTGTAAGTAGTCTATTTAGGCTAATAGGATGTCAATTTTTCATTATTAGGCCGTGTGTCCACCAAAGCGTTTTTTTCACGTGGCTGGCATATGTTCAATTAACGGGAGCGCCGCGTTTTTTAAACGCCATGATGAGCGTCACGAGACGCCCAGCGTTTTTTTACTGGTCGCCGAGAGTTGAAAAATGTTCAACTTTGGATAAAACGCAGCGCTCATCACTGTCACTTCTTACCCAGCCGTCCAATCACAGTGGAGGAGGGGCGGGACTAAACCACACCGACCAACTGTCACAACATTCTTTCTGTATGTCTGACATCAACGTTAACCGTTAACCGTTTTGTTTAGCTAACCGAACAATGGATGAAAAATTATTTTTTAGTATGAAACAAATTATCTGCGAAATCAGTTACAAAACGCTGCACTGCCAAAACGCTTTTAAGCGCCCAAAGCACGGCGTTCAGGTGTTCAGCAGAGCGTCTGGCGTTTTCAGCAGGATAAAAACGCTTTGGTGGACACACGGCCTTAGGTAAGTGGAGGTTTTCATCCACATATAGCGCCTAAAAACGCTAGGGCGGTTGTGCTCCGGTTGGTTCTTGTCACGTGACCTACGGTGCGCTCCATACGGATGCGCTTAAAAAAACGAAAGTGCGTATACCGGTCCGCGCGCCTACATAAAATAACGAACTTGAGCGCGCAAAAGACTTAAGGGGGTCGCACACCGGGCGCGCAGCGCCATGTCTTCAAAATTCGAACACATTATTCTCTATGTGTGTACACACACCGGCGGCGCCATTCGGCGTCTGTCCGCGCCGCCCAGCTACGGCTCAGGACCGTGTTCAAAACCCTGCCGCGCCACAGAGCGCCATTTGCATAGTTTTATATTAAATTGCATTTATTTGTCTCAAATCGTCGTTAATGTACATACTGACTTCACCCTGTGCTGCAATATACATTTAAGCCTATTTAACATTCCTAATTTTCCTAATTCCTAACAGCTTGAATAGTCATATTGGGGAAAAAATGTAAAACAAACATAGCCTTTTTAAATCCATTTTTCAATAGGCTACTCTATCATAGTAACCATACACTAACTGTGTTATTATTATTATTAAGTACCAGTCTAAACCCATCGGTGCGAAATAATGCATAGGCGATGTAACGTTTGCCTCACGTGGTTACATTCACGGTCGTGTAGAGCCACCTATTGGATTTACCAGGTCACAACACACTTCAGGTCATTTCTGTAGCGTAGCAGCGGAGCGAAATGGACGAAGAAAAACTCATCAATGAAGGAGTAGTATGAAGGAGTAGGGAGTAATCAATGAAGTAGTTGCCTAGACAACGGATAACGTTACAACAAAATAACAGACTTAATAAGGTGATAGACACTTTTACTTGGTTAATAACGTTCAAACATCAGCTATTTTATTCACTTAACATAAAAAAATATATAATACATCCAGTTTAAACTCACCCATCTTGCAGCTCTTGACTTCTACCAGGAGTTGATTCAAAACTGAGCTCGTGCGAATAGAATGTGCGCGTCCGGTGTGCGATACCTGTGAATTGTTCAAGACGTGGCGCCCGGTGTGCGACCCCCTTGAATAATTTAATTCAGGACTTTTCTCTCTCTCTCTGCCTTTTTAGAATTACACTTCACTGGGGCCTGCACAAATATGTCAGTATGCATTTCGATGACATTACTATTATTATTTTGTGTAGGACACAGACATGATATCTAGATGTCGTAATGATTTGTTGCTGTGTGTTGTTCCGCATGATGCCCCTGTCATCTAACAACGACTCACTATTAGTTTACGAGTTGTCATTTTTAAGGGTTTAAAGGCGCTGTGAATAACTTTTACAAGAAAACTCCTAACTAAAATATTTTAGTGCGCTTTAGGAGTATACTCATAGTGATAAGATCAAATTCTTTGTGAATACGGCTCCTGATATAGTCCAGCTATGAGTAGGCCTAACACACTTCTTCTAGCTAAAATAACTTAAGAATTTATAGTCACATGTCGTTTTGCCAAAATAACTTGCAAAATATTCCATCATGTAAGCAAAGTAAACAGAGATTATGAGGTGTTTGGTTTAATTTCTTAACTCATTTCATTTCTTTGTTATCTAATTGATGGTGAGTGTACTTGGGCTCTGCTTTACTTTAGATGTCTTACATTTTCACTGACAGCCCAAATTTGTCCCTGTTTTAGCCTAGACATCCGGCTGTGTTTGGGCGGATATGAGACGTCTTTTAGACGCAAAACTGCATGCTGGGATATTGATCTGACTGCACTGACACAAACGAGAACAAACGTGAGCTGAATTAGGGCTCTGTTAATTGTCTTCTGTCTCATATTTGATGATGTTTGCATCTTTGATTGGCTTAATTGTGACCGAAGCTGCTTTAATTTGAGTCCAGAAGCTTCTGATCCGGTGTGACTCTGTTCTCTGGGCTGGACAAGTGTTTTCAATGCACTCCGGTGCCAAATGTGGAGTTGCGTAATGTGTGTGTCTTTCACTCCCATTGGACGGCCGATTTAATTATGTGCCAACAAAATCAATACAGCAGAACATTGAGCCTCAGAGAACAGAACTCAGTCACGTATCGTCCGCGCCGCAGGGGCTTCTGGGATACGCCTGGCCCGTCCTGTCGTCGAGAGAAGAAGGTCCCGTCGGGTTTCGTAACCCAATGTTTTCATCTCTGCCGTATCAGCGCCGTTGAGAAAACACCCATAAAACATTATGACTTTGTTTTTTCCTCAGGACTCGCATCACAGAACCCGTATCAAAGGTAGAAGATTACTGCAGTTTCCCTGACTGCTGCCAACACACACTTCATCATCACACAACTCTCCATAATCTTCCAGAACACTTTATTTTCATTCATCTTTAAAGAGATCTTTCAGGTGGAAAGCGCTGGAAAATAAAATGTCAAATAAAGAATTAAATATGAACTTAGAATGCAATACAGTAATTATAGTACAGTACATAACACTAGTTCAGCGTCCTCGGCCGAATCCCGCGGTTCTGACCGGAGCGCCGTCAGTTCTGCTGCTGAATGTGCAGTGTGTGTTATTTGAGTTCACAGTGTGACTTCATTCTATCTATAGTGTGTTTGTGTTTTCCTGTGCAGATGTCATTGAGTAACGTTAGAGTTTAGTAGAAAACTTTGAGAAAATGTTAGCATGTGAAACTGGTGAAATGTTGACCGGTGGAGAAACGAGTGTGTTCGAGACAGTCACGTGATCCGGCGAGGAGTCGATGATTGACAGCTATTGATCACCAGCTCCGACTCCGCGCACACACACACACACACACACACACACACACACACACACACACACACACACACACACACACACACACTCGCTTCCAACATGATCTACTTATCCACCTTTCTGTGTTCCTTTTGTTATGAAAACACACTCAAGATAAGGTGTGTGTGTGTGTGTGTGTGTGTGTGTGTGTGTGTGTGTGAGAGAGAGAGGATTTCGTTCTTCTTCAATATTGAGTCACAGCTCCAAAAACCACAAACCAGACGTGTGTGTTTCTGTGAGATCAGTTTGAGATTCCTCAATTACAGTGCATGATGGGAAGAGTGTGTGAATGAAAGGCATCCACCAGAGCCCTGGGCCTGATTGTGTAGTTGTTATTGTGTAGTTTTGTTTGTGTAATTGTGATTGTGTAGTTGTGATTGTGTAGCTGTGATTGTGTAGTTGTAATTGTGTAGCTGTGATTGTGTAGTTGTGATTGTTTGCTATTAGGTTATTATGCTAACGACCAGCCAGGCATCGGTCCAAACGCCACATCATCAAATCATGAGGAGACTGTGCAGATGCTGCCCTCTGGTGGACACACACACACACACACACACACACACACACACACACACACACACACACACACACACACACACACACACACACACAAACACAAACACACACACACACACACACACACACACACACACATGAGGAGACTGAGCAGATGCTGCCCTCTGGTGGACACACACACACACACACACTCACATGAGGAGACTGAGCAGATGCCGACTCATCTCTCGTGATCATCTCTCAATTTATTATTTAACATTTTTATTTCAATCCTTAACAAATATGAGGAGTGCCTTAAAACTCTCTAAATTACTGCCAATATATATATATATATATATTGTTATAATTTGCTTTTCATAATTTGTATGTCAGTATTATGTTGTTTACGGTTGATGTGTTGTACCCGTGTATGCCCACCGGCAACTGTAGATCAAATCGCAAAAGAGAAAATGAATGCAGAATAAACACGACGAAACCATTCAGAAAAAAATGGGCACAAGTGGGCTAAAAATGATAATGTGTTAATGCCTGTATATTTGAAATTATTTAAATGAATAACTAAATAAATAAAACTAGTTTTAAAACTAGCTGCGCCGTGACGTTCAGTGACGTAGTTACGCACATACGTGCAACGTCACCATCAACAAACTTCCTGCTTCCGGTTAAGGTTTCGAGGTAAGCTGCATTGATCATTGAACAACGTTATTTGCTGTAAGTCGATGGTTTAATCGATCTGGTCGCATAAGCGCCGCGGGTGTGTGTGATCAGAGTGAGCTCGTGCAGAACCGAGCCGATCGACATCCGGGTCCGTCTGGACAATCAGCCGAGCTTCATTGATCTTCTTCTGCCTGTGTGTTAATGTGTGTGAATCCTCAGGCCTGAAGATGCGGTTCGGGTTCGGGTTCGGGTCCGGGCTCCTGTTGCTCCCGCTGATGTTCTGTTGGATCTGCGCGTCGGAACTGACGTTCGAGCTTCCGGATAACGCCAAGCAGTGCTTCTACGAGGACATCACCATCGGAACCAAGTGCACACTGGAGTTCCAGGTACCGGATGCGGACTGACTCCGGATTCACACAGGCTACGCTTTCATGCGACCAGATAACCCGTTAGTAATGGGCTGACTGAACCTTCGTGTAAACGTCTTTGACCCGGTTGAGCTCGATCCTGTGTGGCTAACCGTGCTCTATTATTATTATTATTATTATTATTATATATTACTGAATAAGAGACATCATGTTCCCACTGTCTTTAAAGATGATTATTACCTTGCAAGGAAAGGTCACACAGAGAGTGTGTGTGTGTGTGTGTGCAGGTGGTCACGGGCGGACACTATGACGTGGACTGCCGGCTGGAGGACCCGGACGGGACGGTCCTGTATAAGGAGATGAAGAAGCAGTACGACAGCTTCACCTTCACCGCCTCCAGGAACGGCACATACAAGTTCTGCTTCAGCAACGAGTTCTCCACCTTCACACACAAGACCGTGTACTTCGACTTCCAAGTGGGCGACGATCCCCCGCTGTTCCCCAACGAGAACCGGGTCACGGCGCTCACACAGGTGACACACACACACACACACACACACACACACACACACCTGGGCTTCATGTCCAACACTCCAGTCTGAACTGATCTAGTGTCCGTGTGACGCTGATAATTAGGGGTGTAACGCAGGCCCGGTTCTACGGGGGTGCTTGGGGGTGCTAAGCACCCTCAAACTAAAGTGAAAGCACCCTCAGATTATTTTGCCGACAAAAGAAACACAGACGGATTTCAAACTCATACAAATAATAGGTTACACAAACTAAATCAATTAACGTGATTTTTCAAATCAGAATTTATTTCAGTATTATGTTTAATGCATTAAATTGGTTGTGTCCTTTCGCGATCGTAATACCCACAGGTGACGCTGCCTGTCTCTTTAATTGCCCACTTTGTTTGCGTGTGTGCGTCCCGCTCAGGAAATTCGTTAGCGATGGGGCTGCCTTTAGATAGCCAATAAATGTCTCTATATAAATCGGAATGAATAGAGAGTCTCTGCAACGGCGGTAGATTGAAGTGCGCGTCCGAGTGAAGATTGCGCGAGACACAGGAGAACTGTATCCATGAAACTGACAGCAGTGGCAAATAGTGCTCAGCTTGATTTCAAAAACATCAAATTTAACCAGTACCTACATGTCTTAATTAAGAGCGAACTAAATGAATGCTCTGCTAGTTAACTGGAGATGTTTTATCTGTAGTAGGTAAATCTGTTCCTCAATATTTCCAAAAGTGGTGGGTACAAAATTACTAATGACGAAATCTGGTGGGGATCGACATCGAGTGACGAGCTGTTTCGTTTAAAAGGACTGATTCATTGTCGTCAGAAACTAAATGTCTAAAATGTAGGCCTACGTTACTTATAGGCTATTAACTTATTTATTCAACTGCAGAATAAAATCAGTTTCAATACTTCACACATTTGCATATAGGCTACTGCTGTTTTTTTGGGGGGAAAGTAACATTTCTTAAATGAAATGATATGTAAACGACAAAAACTCATACAGGGACATATGCTACTCGATCATATCGAATATTGTTTAACGTTTGAGCACCCTCACTATTTTCAAAAGCACCCTCAGTGATTTGGTTCTAGAACCGGGCCTGGTGTAACGAGACGTAACAATGATATAAGGCTAACAGAATTGAACTGTTGATTAAAATGCTAAATTTGATATTACACTGTGTGTGTGTGTGTGTGTGTGTGTGTGTGTGTGTGTGTGTGTGTGTAAATGAATATTCTTGCACTTGGAGCTGGAAACCCAACAGAGACACCAGAACAACAATATTCATGATTCTGAAACTGAAAATACTGAATGATTTCAGACGAGTATTATTGATCTCTGACTAGATTTATTTAAAATAATGTCGGCCTCTTTTCACCGGTAACTTTAGACATCTGGCCTTACAGGATCAGTAGCCACAAATATTCCCCGTTACACTATTATATAGATATATAGGGACGCCTCTACTGAAGTTATGAGCGATATATTCTTAACCCGAGGCGATCACGTGACCCGAGGTGATCATGTGACTGCTGCTGTGTTTCAGATGGAGTCGGCCTGCGTCTCGATCCACGAGGCCCTGAAGTCTGTGATCGACTACCAGACGCACTTCCGGCTGCGCGAGGCTCAGGGCCGCAGCCGGGCCGAGGACCTCAACACCCGCGTGGCCTTCTGGTCCGTGGGCGAGGCCTTCATCCTGCTGGTGGTGAGCATCAGTCAGGTGCTGCTGCTGCGGAGCTTCTTCTCGGACCGCAAGACCACCACCACCCGCCTGGGGTCGTAGGTCGCCCGCCTCCACATCCAGGAGCTCTGCTGGCCGTTAATTTATTGTGTGTTGACTTTACACGTGACCTGTGTGAGCATTAGCGGATGTGAGTCGCTGTAGACCTGCTCCTCTTCCTCCTCATCATCATCATCATCATCATCATCATATGAGGCTTCAAGCGTTAGTTTCTAACAGCCACTATTTGCTTTATCTTGTATAAAACAGGCATCCTCGTTAATGTTTCTTAGTCAATGTTTTCCTTTCAGGACATCGGTGTAATGTGTTTTATGTTAGCTGTTTCTTTTTTAATAGTGGTGTATTGATTTGTGTTCCCTGTTTGAATGGGCTAATAAACGTGTGGAGGAACGTCTCGTCTCTACCTGAACCCGCCGCTCCTGTCATGCTAACGCTGAGTGTTAGCATGAGTGTGTGTGTGTCTCACTCAGATCATGTGTGTAAACAGTGATAGCAGGAGATTACAGTCACAGACAGTGTTTAGGTTTTACAGCAGATCTAGAATAAAGTTATTGTCCACATAAAGTTACTTTTGATTGATTCACTTTCGTTGATCATTGGTTATTAACTCAGGGGCCGCTTACACAACACCGCTCTCCAGAACACAGAAACTCTAATGTGTTCTGGACGTTCATTTGCAAGAATCAGTCAAACTCATCGATTTAAAGGGTTTTGCTGAGCATTATTGTGTTTGCATACAATATTGCCAAATCATTATACACAACGCATGTAAAGGACATGTACAGTAATCTCTGCTCGCCATTCAGTGCTGCAGTTCCTCGCGCGGCCTCTAGCGGACGCTGTGAGGAGACACTCACTGCAGCCACAGGCACATCTCGAGGAACACTTCAAATCCCTCGTTCATTTCTGTGATTTAGTCTCTCAAGGCTCATTTTTAAATGAATTAAATAAAAGACTGTGTGATAAATCCTTCAGAAACGCGATGTACGCGTGCGTGTTCTTAAAAGCGCTCGGTCTCGCGCACTGGTCTCGCGTCGTGACTGTTATCGTTTACCTTTAAATGGAGAAGGATTGAACGAGAGCGTGATTGGACCGCCCGGCTGTCAATCACTCGCAGGGGGCGGGGCCTTCTGTTACCGACGGGGAAAACCAGCAGTAGAGCAACAGATTCGACGGGCTGAAACATAGAATTAAGATTACTGGGAGAAATGGACATAAAGCCAGAATTATGTTTATTTAGTGAAGCTGATTGTGCCTCAGTGACCATCGCGTGTGTTTGATGAAGAGGATCTCGCTCGATGTTTCAGGAAGCGGGGGAGGAAGAGCCGCAGCGACTCTATTTTTATCTTTTTGTATTATTTGGACTCGGCATGAGCTAAAGAACCGTGAGGGTCTGTGTGTGTGAAACCCCGAACCAGCGGCCCGGTAACGGACACGATCGATCAGCGCGAGCGGTAAGAGCTGCGGCCTCGGAACCGCGGAAAACACGGTTTAATGAGGGAACACCCGACATAAACACGGTTTAATGAGGGAAAACCCGACGTAAATACGGTTTAATGAGGTTTAAAACTGCAGATAAACACTGCTGATCATGGCAGACATACAGGCAATATGACAGAAACAATGATGAAAATAATGACCCTCTCTGTTGGTCAGATATTGGTGTTTATTGACACTAAACTGTATAATTGTCGTTGTATAGTATGTGATTATATACGTAGATGTGTCATGGTCACGTGACAAAAACATTTCATATTTATTTACTAAGTATTGGTCAAGTCAGTTTATTTCAGTACAGATTCTCAGTAATAAACAGGAAATAGAATCAATGATGCAAACTTCATCAAACATGAGACTAATTCATGAGATCATTCAACTCAGTTTATAGTTTTATAGCTGAATCAGATTTGTTTCATAATTGACGAATTTTGCAACATTGATTGACGCTGTTTTTGATCTGAATTTGAAAGCTGATTTGACTTGACTTGTTGATTCAGTTCAGATCAATAACTGTAGTTTATCAATAATAAAATGTATTAGATTCTGTCAGGTGTCTTTTAAATCACATTACATGATTATGGAAAAGACTGTCATAATATTACAGTCCTGAAGCTTCATGGTTCCGATTGCACATTAACACCTCATACACAAACCCTTGTGTCATCATTTACTGTACGACTGTGTTTCTCAGTGAAGACTTTAGTTTAACACGAGCACTCAGAATATTCCCAAAAACTAGAGGCGTCACAATATATCGCAATACAAAAATGCTACAGTATGTATAATGATGTCGATCGCTTCTTTCCGGCAAACACCACGCCTATCAAGTAAGGGTACTGTTGGCGGTGGGAACGCTACTGTACCGTACCGTACCATACCGCTCAGTGGAAACAAGCCATAATTCTGTATTTTCAGATAATATCGTATCGTGAGGTCAGTATTGTGATATGTATCACATCTTGAGGTCAGTATCGCAATAATATTGTATCGTGAGGTCAATTTCACAATAATATCGCATCGTCAGGTCAGTATCATGATAATATAGCATTCTGAGGTCAGTATCGCAATAATATCTTATCGTGAGGTCATTATCATGATAATATAGCATCATGAGGTCAGTATAGTGATGTGTATCGTATTGTGAGGTCCGTATCATGATAATATCGCATCGTGAGGTCAATTTCGCAATAATATTGTATCATGAGGTCAGTATTGTGATGTGTATTGAATTGTGAGGTCCGTATCGTGATGTATATCATATCGTGAGGTCAGTATCGTGATGTGTATCGTGAGGTCAGTATTGTAATGTGTATTGTATCGTGAGGTCAGTATCATGATAATATCGCATCGTGAGGTCAGTATCGTGATAATATCCTATCGTGATGTATATTGTATTATGTCATGAGGTCATTATCGTGATGTGTATCGTGAGGTCAGTATCGTGATGTGTATCGTGAGGTCAGTATCGTGATAATATCCTATCGTGAGGTCAGTATTCTGATAATATCGTATTGTGATATGTATTGAGTATCGTGCACCGAAGTCGGTTCTTTTGACAACTCTATTAACGTGCGTGTGGTTTTGCCTGCAGGACGGAGAGCAACTCTATGCCATGGATCTAAAAACGGCTGTTTTCAACGCGGCCCGAGACGGCAAACTGCGACTCCTCCAGAAGCTCCTGGAGAACAAGAGCGATCACGAGGTGCTGACGCTCATGGCGGAGAAGACGAGCGGAGCGACGCCGCTGCTGATGGCGAGCCGCTACGGGCACCTGGAGCTGGTGGAGTTCCTGATGGAGCGCTGCTGTGCGCCGGTGGAGCTCGGCGGCTCCGTGAACTTCGACGGCGAGATCATCGAGGGCGCGCCGCCGCTGTGGGCCGCCTCGGCCGCCGGACACCTGAAGGTGGTGCAGTCTTTACTGGGCCACGGAGCCTCCGTCAACAACACCACCCTCACCAACTCCACCCCGCTGCGCGCCGCCTGCTTCGACGGGCACCTGGACATTGTGCGCTACCTGGTGGAGCACAGGGCGGACCTGGAGGTGGCCAACCGACACGGACACACGTGCCTGATGATCTCCTGCTATAAAGGCCATCGCGAGATCGCGCAGTTCCTGCTGGAGAGAGGAGCCGACGTCAACCGCAAGAGCGTCAAAGGTAGCAGGCGCTAGCTCTGTAGCGATACCCTCGTGCCACGATTAAGTTAAGCTTGCTTCGGTAGTCGTGTTGACGGTGTTCAGAAGCAACACCCGTTGCATCACTTGCCCACCGCGGCACCGGCGATGCGATCTTCACTTGGAGAACAGACACTGTTAAACTGAACGCGTCTGCTTAATAAATCGCGAGTCGCTGCACAGATGTTTATCTGCGTCGGATCTCGTTAATCACGAGGGCGAGGAGCTGACTGACCAGATGATGGCGGGATATCTGGTGTAAAAGCGAAATATGAAAGTGCCCATTTAAGCGAATTTGTCATTGTACTGTATTGCTTTTCATTAAGAATAATAATGTAATGTATATTTAATTCTGTTTTGTTCATGTCAGCATGATGCGTTATGTGTTTTCTTGGAATTATATATAATAATGAGGATGACGATAATAAATTGGCACCATGCGTTTTTTGGTGTCGGTGATCCGGTGGCTCTGAGCCGTCAAAACACCGTTCAAACCGCTTGAGCTACGGATGCAAACGCAGAAAATCGAACCTGATACGCTTTTTTTGGCAGTGAAACGTAGTTTCAGTTTCAGTGGGAGTGTGTAGCGTGATTGACATAACCCGAGGTCGTATTTATTTTTAACGTGTGAAGATTTCGTACTCCGCGTGCCGAGAGACGTGCGCTTGTGAACTCGTGATCAGTTCATGCCGATGACTGGAAGCGAGACCGTTTGGTTCTGGTTGTGCTGCACATTTAAATCTACACTGCAGAAACTGCTTTTCTTAACTTTTATTCATATTGCACATTTCACACACTATGGCAATTCAGAGAGTTTTACACAGAAAGGAATTAAAATAATCACAAACTAAAAGCAAGGAAACTCAAAACAGTTCTAAAATAAACTGAAGCGTAAAAGATGATAAACTTCTCATCTGGCAAAACACCGGCGTATCATACTTTTCACAGTTTTACTCTGAGATTCCCCCACTGTGTGTATTTTTAGTATTTAGGCCTAACTTTGTCTTGTTTCCAGTCCAAATATAACAAAAAAATCTTAAATCAAGATGCATTTACAGTATCAGTAACATGCCATAAGATATGCTGTCTTGTTTTCTAGGGAAAAGAATCAAAATGAAGAGAGTTCTTGCTTAAAGCAAAATTATCCGCCGGTAGGGTCAAAAAGATAATCGTGTTTCTGTCTGAATTAAGCTCATTTTAACGTTAATCTCGTCTGTCCCGCAGGGAACACGGCTCTGCACGACTGCGCCGAGTCCGGGAGCCTGGAGATCATGAAGATGCTCCTGAAGTACGGCGCCAGCATGGAGAAGGACGGCTACGGGATGACTCCGCTGCTGTCCGCCAGCGTGACGGGCCACACCAACATCGTGGACTTCCTCACCACGCACCCGCACACGGGCCGGGCCGAGCGCATCAACGCCCTGGAGCTGCTGGGCGCCACCTTCGTGGACAAGAAGCGGGATCTGCTGGGAGCGCTGAAGTACTGGAAGAGGGCCATGGACTCGCGGCACAGCGACTCGACTCACGTGCTCTCGAAGAGCGAGCCCAAGCCGGTGCCGGCGTACGATTACACCAGAGAAGTCAACAGTTTAGAGGAGCTGGAGGCGCTGATCGCGGACCCGGACGACATGCGCATGCAGGCGCTGCTGATCCGAGAGCGCATCCTCGGCCCGGCGCACCCCGACACCTCCTACTACATACGCTACCGGGGAGCAGTGTACGCAGACTCGGGGAACTTCGAGAGATGCATCAAGCTGTGGAAGTACGCGTTAGACATGCAGCAGAACAACCTGGACCCGCTGAGCCCGATGACGGCCAGCAGCCTCCTGTCCTTCGCTGAACTCTTCTCCTTCATGCTGCAGGACCGGGCCAAGGGCCTGCTGGGAACCTCCGTGTCCTTCGACGAGCTCATGGAGATCCTCAGCAAGAGCGTGCTGGAGATCGAGCGGGCCGTGAAGAGGCCCGGCCCGGACCCGGCCCAGCTCGGCAAGGTTCTGTCCATCATCCTGCACCTCATCTGCCTGCTGGAGAAGGTGCCGTGTGCCGTGGAGCAGGACCACTTCAAGAAGGAGACCATCTACAAGTTCCTGAAGCTGCAGGCGTGTGGGAAGAACGGGTTCAGCCCGCTTCACCTGGCCGTGGACCGCAACACCACCTGTGTGGGCCGATACCCCGTCTGCAAGTTCCCCTCCTTCCAGGTAGGGCAGTGCATGCTGAATCGATCTGTAATTATTATTCGAAAAAAAAAAAAAATACTTTTCGACTTTTACAGTTTACAGACTTTTACTTTTACAATCCCCGATGAACCCCAGGCGCTGAAACTCATGATTAAATGCACTGTGGCGTTTGTAGAGCGTTGATTGTATTAGATCTCATAACGTAGTTGTCGTCTGCCTCGCACGATATGCCAACGATAAATAAATATAAACGCGATAACCATATGCCAACGATAAATAAATATAAACACCATAAACGTATGCCAATGATAAATAAATATAAACACGATAACCATATGCCAACGATAAATAAATATAAATACGATAACCATATGCCAACGATAAATAAATATAAACACGATAACCATATGCCAACGATAAATAAATATAAACACCATAAACATATGCCAACGATAAATAAATATAAACGCGATAACCATATGCCAACGATAAATAAATATAAACGCGATAACCATATGCCAACGATAAATAAATATAAACGCGATAACCATATGCCAACGATAAATAAATATAAACGCGATAACCATATGCCAACGATAAATAAATATAAACGCGATAACCATATGCCAACGATAAATAAATATAAACGCGATAACCATATGCCAACGATAAATAAATATAAACGCGATAACCATATGCCAACGATAAATAAATATAAACGCGATAACCATATGCCAACGATAAATAAATATAAACGCGATAACCATATGCCAACGATAAATAAATATAAACGCGATAACCCTATGCCAACGATAAATAAATATAAACGCGATAACCATATGCCAACGATAAATAAATATAAACACCATAAACGTATGCCAACGATAAATAATATAAACGCGATAACCATATGCCAACGATAAATAAATATAAACGCGATAACCATATGCCAACGATAAATAAATATACACGCCATAACCATATGCCAACGATAAATAAATATAAACGCGATAACCCTATGCCAACGATAAAATAAATATACACACGATAACCATATGCCAACGATAAATAAATATAAACGCGATAACCCTATGCCAACGATAAATAAATATACACGCCATAACCATATGCCAACGATAAATAAATATAAACGCGATAACCCTATGCCAACGATAAAATAAATATACACACGATAACCATATGCGGACTCGAGTGTATTTGCACGTCCTGTACGATAACTGCACAGTCGGCTTTATTAGCGCTTTATTCCAATCGCGCTGCTTGAGCTTAGATACTTTTGTTGTATATTTTTTGTTTAAAAGATATTATTTAATGTCGTAAATTTAAAAAAAAACTTAAGATATAACATATAAGCTTGTTTTGTAAATTGTCTAATTGTAAAGTTGATGTGTAAATAAATTAATATTTGAATATTGAATAAAATAGAAAAATAAAAATAGAATATTTGGAATACAGTGTTTCTGATAGTGCCCCCCTCCCCCCAGGTGACGTCGATCCTGCTGGAGTGCGGCGCGGACGTGAACTCTCGGGATCAGGACGACAACAGCCCGCTCCACGTGGCGGCATCCAACAACCACCCCGACATCATGAACCTGCTGATCTCCTGCGGCACACACTTCGACAGCACCAACTCCTTCAAGCAGACGGCCTGCGATCTGCTGGACGAGAAGGAGATGGCCAAGAACCTGATCCAGCCCATCAACCACACCACCCTGCAGTGTCTGGCCGCGCGCGCCATCGTCAAACACGGCCTGGCGTACCGCGGAAACATCCCCGAGCGGCTCGAGGCCTTCGTGCTGCTGCACAGATAGTGGCTGGGTTTCAGCTGGGCTCCGGCTGGGCTCTGGCTGGGTTTCGGCTGGGCTCTGGCTGGGTTTCGGCTGGGCTCTGGCTGGGTTTCGGCTGGGCTCTGGCTGGGTTTCAGCTGGGCTCTGGCTGGGCTCCGGCTGGGTTTCGGCTGGGCTCTGGCTGGGTTTCGGCTGGGCTCTGGCTGGGTTTCGGCTGGGCTCCGGCTCTGCTGATTGGCATGCAACGCTTCCAACAAGAGTCCTACCATCTTTGCTCGGACTTCTGTTGAATTTGTTCTGTGTTTCTTGCCACTCGTCGACAGGTTTGCTTTCTCTTTCTGTCTCTATGCAAAGACGGTAGGACCCGCCAGACCCGTCCTCGACCCGCCGGTTCCCTGCGCCGGTTCCGTTTCTCCAGTGGACTGGAATGCTGTCATCGCTCCCCTCCAGCATAAACGAGCATTACAATGATGATGTGTGCTTAATGTTTGCAGATACCATAAGTGCTTTTATTCTTCCTATGCACAGGCTGTATATCGGGACCGTTCTGTGTTACTGGATCGTGCCACGTGTTCATGTCGATGCCTGTTTTTTGTTACTATACATTAATCTATTTCTTCACCGTCTCCTAATCTCGATCATGAACTGGTTAAATCGCCTGTTTAGCCGTCAGGACCGTGGAAGTGTGTCTCTTTTGAATCTTTGATCTTTGAACCCGGACGAGCTGTAAAAACCAAACCATTGGCCCTATAGTTATTGCACCGCATGAGCTGAAGTTTAACGGTTTACCCGTCTGAGCCGATCAGACAGAAATATTATACCGACGTTAGCTTGAAGTCGAGTGTATTTTGTGGTGGTCATGATGATGATGATGATGATGAATCTTCAGCTCTGTGTAGTTTAAGTTCAACTTTACATTTGTGCAGTTTGAACTCAAGGGCTTCTGATTCTTTTACAGGCACAATACACTAGTAAATGAAACAAATGTACAGTCAAAAGGACTTGCACTTTATTGCAGTGAAATTTGATATTCATATTACTATAGCATAAAGCTTGTTGATGTCCTTAGAGCATAATTGATAATAAACCTCTGTTGCACTCGAGTGTCGGCCTGTTTTCCCTTTTTTCAACACTTTATAAGTGCTGTATTACAATGACTTCGAATCATTAGATGATGATTTAATCTTCTACATTCACCGATACCTGCTGAAGGACCGTAACATCACAGCTAATGACCTAAACTAGTGCTTTACTCATTTAAATGCTTTTATATCATGTCAATGTGTGAGTGAATGACGGGTTTATATACATGCGCTTGTTTTCCTTGTTATCTCTGAAGAGTGATTGGCCAGAGCTCAGTGTTTTGCGATGACTCTGTGATCCGCGTTTCATCCGGATCGTCTGCACACTTTCTCGATTGTAATATCCTTCAAGTCAGAATGAAACTTGTTTTCTTAGTTTCTGGTCTTGTTGTACATGGTTCATCTGTGCATGTATAATCTTTAATCATAATGTCCTCCTGTGATGGACTCATTTTTCACAAGCCTTTATTCATTTACTTGTTTATAGTCGTTTACCTTGCCTCAGTGGAAACCACAAAAAGCTTTATGTTGCAAAGCCATTTACAGTCTAGAGTTTAATCATGATGCAAGGCTTGCTAACACTAACCCGAACACACAAACTGATCCCAGTTATATCCCAGAACCAGTCAGATGTGTTCAGACCGGTCTGTGGTGTTCTGCATGTTTGTGTTTTTGGTTTATAAGCAACCCGACAGTCATTAGTCTGCTGTAAAACAGTTATAGTGCTTCAAAACAGTATTTTACTCTCCGTCACCTTCCTTTATATAGTGCATTGAACACTACAGATTGCTTCAAAGCAGCTTTACAGTGATAATAGGCAATTACCATGCTTCAGGTTGGAGGGACATAAAGGTGTTTATACTGAACGTTGAGCAGGGTTGGGGTTATACGGACACGTATATCAGGCAAATATAGTGTTTTACATATGAAAGGGCTTTAATGCGGATCTCTAACCGCTAAACCGCACCATCTCTAATGCTGAATTTATGGACAATTATCTTCAATATTACGGTCTTTTATTAATCTTGAAGATCACGCCGCTTGACTTTGTGTTTTTCTTTCGGGAGTCGACACGTGACACTTAGCCTACTTTTGTCATGTCTTTAAATAACCTTGAATAATGTCCCGCTCAGAATCTGTCCTACATAAAGGCCCACGTCAGTTTCCACAGGTGCAGACGAGCCTCTTCCGTGTGCTGGGATCCGTGTGCTGGGATCCGTGTTATTGACGTGTGCTGGGAAAACTGGATGACTAGTAACTTCCAACTACTAAATTCAGAAAAAACAGAGATTCTAATTATTGGACAAATAACTTCCTCACGTAATAACCTAAAATACTGTCTAACAACTGATGGCTGCTCTGTCAAGTCTTTGTCGTTGGTTAGGAACCTGTGTGTGTGTGTGTGTGTGCTCTGAGAGACCAATGTTTCATTTGAAAGTCACGTGTCTAGCATCTATAGAACAGCATTTTTCCATCTAAATTACGCCGTATGCTCTCACTGACGAATGCGAGACAGTTAGTTCATGCATTCATGACATCAAGGCTAGATGACTGTAATGCTCTACTGGGTGGTTGTCCTGCGCACTTAATAAACAAACTCCAGCTCGTCCAAAACGCAGCCGCTCCAGTTCTTACCAGAACCAGGAAGATTGACCGTATTAGCCCGCTTCTGTCAACCCTGCATTGGCTGCCTATTAAACATCGGATACATTTTGAAATATTGCTGATTACTTATAAAGCACTGAATGGTTTATCTCCAGTACTTGAGCGAGCTCTTAACGCATTATAGTCCTGCACGTCTACTGCGATCTCGAAACTCCGGCCAGTTGATAATACCTAGAATATCAAAATCGACTGCAGGCGGGAGATCCTGTTCCTATTCAGCACCAAAACTCTGGAACAGTCTTCCTAACATTGTCCGGGAAGCAGACACACTCTGGCAGTTCAAATCTAGACTAGTCACACATCTCTCTGGCCTAGCACACACAACACACCATACGCCTTATTCACGGCAGCGCCATCTTTGATTTTTAATGAGAATGAAAGCGAGGCTGTGAGGGATAGACTTGCATCTCTTCAATGGGCTGTACTGTTATTTAATGTGTTTTCAGATTGTTCTGCTCATGAAACACTGGAAAAATATCTTTCCAAGAAATGTCAGTTGACTAAAAACTCCCGACAATGTAAGCTGTGGAAAATTGTAAGTAATCTACCCGCTTTATTTAGCTTTTTACAGCGGATGCCATTGGAAACACGGTAAGTCTATCCCTCACTGCCTCACTTTCATGGCGCTGCTCTTCAATGTTAGGCTGCATAGTTTAGATCAGCCGGAACCGAGAACACGTCATGAAATTTTTGATGTAGTGGTTACATCATAAAAATAATTAATTTTAATATTAAAGGTTAATATTAGTCTCTCTGTTTATCCGAGGTTTACCGTAGTCAGCCGGATCCAGACCAGATCAGATGGAGGACCTGCGCCTCGACACGGCCACAATGCATCCCTGTAGTGTCTGCAGAGCTTGTGTCCACTAGACTCTCCCCTGTAAGGCCTCATCGACACACGTCCTCAACAGGCTCGTCTCCATTGCGGCGTGACTCCAATCTTTAACTAGAGGGAACTGAATAATTCTGAATGTTCTGATCCAATCTGACCTCTGACCTGTAATGCTCCTGAATCATAATCACACACTGTTCACTCATGTCCAGAGGAGAACCGAGCGACTGAGTCTGGTTTCTCTCAAGGGTTTCTTTCCATTCTGTCACTGATGGAGTTTCGGTTCCTTCACTATTGCCGATGGCTTTTGGGTTTTGGCTGTTTAGTTGGGGACATTTAATATTCAACACTAATATTGATCTCCTGCATCGACACTATTACATGAGAACTGAACTGAGCTGGATGATGATGACATGGATGGTTTTCTCCAGAGCGGCTATATATGTATATATATATAAATGAAATAAATTAATTCGTTTTTTTTTTTACAACAGAAATCATCAGTGAAATGACTTAAGCTGGACTTGACACTATTTTCTTCCAGATCTGCTGTAGCCGAAACAAACTTTGTTGCATTATTTTCCTGTTATGTCTAAATAAATGCTGCTAAATAAATGTGACTTGACTTGAAGTCAATCAGATGTTTGGTCACCAACATTCTTCAAAATATCTTCTTTTTTGTTCAACAGAAGAAAGAACTCACACAGGTTTGTAACAACACGAGGGCGAGTAAATGATGAGCGGTTTCGTGTAATAAGGGTCAACTGTCCCTTTAAGGTAGTTTGGGCAGACGTTGCCATGGCAACAATTCAAACAAAGCCGCCGCTGATCATCATTCATTCCCTGCTGACTGACATGATTTAGCGCGATATCTCTACATGAGGTACTTGAGCTTAATTAATATTGGATTTGGCTGATCTTTGATCGCGCGCGTTGTTCATTTGGCCGAATGTCTGCCTCGGATTTTCTACGGGAAGCGGAAAGTCTCAGAAGATTGTGAGTTAATTTATTTCTGTATAACAGAGATACTCTCGTGCCTTTATTGTTCATTGCTCTCTTCATACACACAGGCTGAGTAAAGAGGAGCGAGAGGCGATCAGACGACAGGATCTCAGAGAGACTTTCAGCGAGTTTCACGAGCTCAACGATCAGCTGCATCTGCGCCTGCGCGCCGACAGTAAGCACACACGTGACCTCCTGCTTCCCGCTTCACTGACGGGCCATTTATGCCAATAATAAATAATAATAAACAAAAACATGATTTTGCAAAGGACATGAATTAAAGTCATATTTATGAAATGAAAAGTTGATATGACATGTTTAGGATAATAATGACCTATTAAGTCGAAATTATGACATACTGAGTATTATTATGAGATCTGTAATGTCCCAGACAGCAACATAGTGTTGGCCCAGACCTGGCCCACGTCTGGGCCGTGTGGAAAGGCCTGTTCGACTTCATGCAGCGCCGCGCAGACCGATCGTCGGTTATACTGTGACGGCGAACTCTGTGAAGGTTTTTTTGGTGCAAATCCAGCGAACGCCAGTGACAGTGGAGTGTGTAGTTGTAGAGAATATCCACATGTGTATCAGTAAATTTGAAGAGAAATGTTGCAAACTTATAGACTGTTTTTTTTCTCTTTCACAAACACAACACAACAGTTACACCTTCTCTAATTCTTCATTTCAGGGCCAGTCGCACAAATCCTATTCTACAAAACACACATTAACTCGTACGCTCACATTTTGCTACAGTGCAACTGAATTAGAAGAATTAGAGAAGGTGTAACTGTTGTGTTTGTGGAAGAGAAAAAACAGTCTATAAGTTTGCAACTCTTAAAACATTTCTCTTCAAATTTACTGATACACATGTGGATATTCTCTACAACTACACACTCCTCTGTCACAGGCGTTCGCTGGATTTGGCCGATTCACGAGCTCTGATGACGACACTGCTGACACTCTATTCATGTAGTCACAATGTTACATGTGTCATGTTTATCAAAATAAAACTGATTAAACAACGTCGACTCCACTTCATTGATATAGGGTTATGTTGAACTGTATTCTTGTTCAAACAGATGCTGTATGAAGCAGTGTATTTGGCAAATATTGCATTTATTTCACTTCAGCTGTGATAAAGTGTGTGAACACCACGTGAGCGGTCACTGCGGGAACAGGAAGTGTCCGACTTCCCGTCTCCGTTCGCAGCTCCTCCCACCTGAACACGCAGCCCTCGCCGATCACACGTCCATCCGCAGCCGATGTCCAACACACCTCATGTGTGCCGGGTCTGGGCAGACGTGTTGCTGTCTGGGGTTGAAATGAAAGAAGTTTTTTTTTAATCTCATAATCATAATCATAAACATCATAACCCTAACCCTAATTTCAACATTTATCTCAAAACTTAGAGTAATTATGATTTACCAAGAGAGGCAGCTCACTGCAGATCAAATGGGTGGAGCTTCTTTCTTGCTCCTCCTCCTCTAGACATCCAGCGCATGTAATTATGGCCTAATGGGTGGAGCTAGAATATCCAAACTCCATCCCTCCACCCATTAGAGGTCTAGAGAGGAGGAGCTGGACGTCATGTGACTCGACACACTTGTTTTCTAACGCTGGATTCTTTTTTCTTATGGCAGTAATGGGCTTCCGTAGTCATGTGTGTGTGTTGATCTGTTCAGCTCGGCTGGAGTATTAATATCAGTGTGTGTCCGTCAGTCATGAAGGTCCAGCAGCAGCTGCAGAAACTCAAGAACGGCGTCTTCAGATTCCAGCAGCAGCTCATGGACACCAAACCGTCTCCAGAGGGTGAGACTGACCACCAGATTCAATTCATTCAATATTCAGCAGTATTACTGATCTCCTTCACTCACAGCATTATACCAGACTGAGCTGAGCTGGACGATGACATCACGGTTTACTCCATAAACAAATTAACTAAATTAAGAACTTTTATAATACAAATGAAGCATCACTGAACTTCTGGAAACAAACTTGTTGCATTATTCTCCTGTTCTCTGAAACACTCAGTGCTGTAAATAAAGGTGAATTGCCTCAGAACTGGTGTGTGTGTAATGCAGATGTGTGTTTGGATTTCAGGTGTGTGTGTAATGCAGATGTGTGTTTGGATTTCAGGTGTGTGTGTAATGCAGCTCATGTGTGTTTGGATTTCTGGTGTGTGTGTGTGTAATGCAGATGTGTGTTTAGATTTCAGGTGTGTGTGTAATGCAGATGTGTGTTTGGATTTCTGGTGTGTGTGTAATGCAGCTCATGTGTGTTTGGATTTCAGGTGTGTGTGTAATGCAGATGTGTGTTTGGATTTCAGGTGTGTGTGTAATGCAGCTCATGTGTGTTTGGATTTCTGGTGTGTGTGTGTGTAATGCAGATGTGTGTTTAGATTTCAGGTGTGTGTGTAATGCAGATGTGTGTTTGGATTTCTGGTGTGTGTGTAATGCAGCTCATGTGTGTTTGGATTTCTGGTGTGTGTGTGTGTAATGCAGCTCATGTGTGTTTGGATTTCTGGTGTGTGTGTGTGTAATGCAGATGTGTGTTTGGATTTCAGGTGTGTGTGTAATGCAGATGTGTGTTTGGATTTCAGGTGTGTGTGTAATGCAGATGTGTGTTTGGATTTCTGGTGTGTGTGTGTGTAATGCAGCTCATGTGTGTTTGGATTTCAGTGGTGGACAGATTGAGAGACACTATGACAGACATTGAGACGTCCATCAACATGTTCAAAGACACACAGCATCAAAGGTACGAGGCACATTGGAGATGTGTTTAGTGCCGTAGATTCGCTCTCTCACACTCACACACACACACACACACACACACACCTCTCTCTGTAGTTTCGAGCAGCTGCTGAAGGACGAGCGGGTGGTCTGGCAGGAGATCGGTGTGTTGGAGAGGAAGATGGAGGCGTGGCGTGTGCCCGTGAGAGCCGAGGTCCGTGTTCCCGGCGCCGGCCCGGACCGCAGGAGTGCCGACACACACAGGTGCACAACACACACAACTCCCTCACCCGAGTGAAGTTCAGATACTACTGGTCGAACATCACTCCATTACAAGTAAAAGTTGTAAAGACTGATTTCTACAGAAGAACTTGTTTTTAAAATGACGGTATTGTTTTATTATTGTTGTGTGTAACCCTTACAGAAGCAGAATACACTGGCCCGTGTGTAGTATCTGTGCAATAGAGCTTTCAGAATATTATATCAATCCTATAGCAATTAAACAACTGAATTGACAAAAACTGACTGCCATAATCACCTTAATTTAACGCTCACCTCACAAAAGAAGTGCACATCTGTGTGTGTCCGCTCATGCAGACCGAATCAAGTGTAAAAATCCCCGTCTGTGTGAGTGGATCCGTCTTCCTTTATTTCCCAGCAGTTGATGATTAGTGTTCGAAGACAATGATGGTAAATCGAACTTGACGACGCGTGCCCCTACGGGTGATTACTGACGGCTGTCTGTCACCTGCAACGATCCAATCACGCTTTAGAGATGCCTTGAGCAGTAACTACTGTAACTAACATCACTACCGTCTACTCGAGGGCCTCGACAGAGGTGTAGGGGAGTAAAAGTAAAACGTGTCCAGAAAAAATACTCAAGGAGAGTACAGATACTCAAAGATGGTACTGAAGTCCTCCAGTAAAGGTGTGTGTGGGTGTGTGTGTGTGTGTCAGCAGTGTCCCGGCGGAGCTGGCGGCGCTCGACTCGTTCCTCCAGCGGACCGGGCCACGGGGCGGCTGGGACGAGCTGGACCACCGGAGCTTCCTCAGCGTGTGGACGAAGCACAGCGGGAAACACTCCTTCATTCGGGAGGCAGGCCTTTATTTGCCTGGGAAGAGCGAGGAGGAGCTGAAGCAGCACGAGCTGTGGTTCCTGGAGCTGCGGCGCCTGCAGCAGAAGAAGAGAGAGGTGACCTCTGACCTCTAGGGGCCCTAACACTTGGAGCAATGTAGCGCCAGGCGCGACGCAAGTGTGTTTCGCTAGTTTCAGCCCGACGCAGTTTTCATTTTCCTGTCCTTGTTTAATTAGCAAATGCATTAGCGCTCATCTGTTGACCAACTGAACCTGCTCTGAAGTCAACGGTGCGATATTTATTTATTTTTATTTAAAGAGCGGCGTATGAGCCTGTAGGCGTGCACACTCTGCTTATTACACACACGCAGCAGCACACAAACATGGCAAATATTACACATAAAAGGATTACAATGTAAAATATTATATTGTGTGCATAGAGATATGATGGAATCCAGCTTGTCCTGTACATGGTCGGCTTGCACTTTAACCTCACACACACACACACACACACACACACACACAGCTTTAATCTCGCGCACAAGCACATCATTTGCTCGCTAGAGAAGCGTTCAGTTTTTCCGCTTGTAAATTCCTCCATATGAATAGCGAATCCGCCATGATGCGAGCGCAACTGGCTTTTAAGCTTTTAAAGGGAATGTGAGATGAGACTCTGATTGGTTTATTTCACGTTACGCCCAAAACACACCCATTACTCATTAAGAGAATAGAGACGACCCATTTAGACCAGTGGCGGGAGGGCCGACCATTTTTCCCGCCATTAAACTAGCAAAAGTGTATCCGGAGACCTCCTGAGTGCGCTTTAGACCATCAGCTTAGATGGCCAGGGCTCTCAGGGTTGAACTGATGAATGAACAGTTTTTAAAAAGACACTCAACAGATTATTGGTGTCGTGATAACACATAAAGAAGTTTACGAAAAAGCAAAACATTTTTTATTTTCTACAAATTATCTATTTTCTGAATCTAAAATTGTTATAAAATCTAACCCATTTGTCCAACTTAGTAGTTGTGGTCCAAATTTAAAGTTGATATCACAAAACTATATTATAAAACAGTCACCATATCTGAAACCTTGAGTTTTTCAATGATAGGTGTTTTGTCAAGTTTAGAAAAAGTCCCCTTTGGTCTATTTTTTTCCTTAATACTCATCTTTAATCACCAAAATAACATATTTCAAAGTTTTTTGCTTAAAAAAAATTCTCATGCCTTAAAATATCTTGAATGTAACTCGACACCCTTACCTCATTTAGTATGCACGGTTTTATGAATATGCAAATGAGCCCATCTCCCCTTACTCACTCACTCAGCTCAGAGATCCACTGATAAAAATTGAAATAAAATTGATAAAATATGAAAGATGTCTCCGCCCACTAGGGGGAGGAGCCAGCAAACAAGATTTAAAGTTCCGTTCCCATGTTAACGCATTCCTGTTTGTCCAATTTCAAAACATTTTCCACAGGATGAATTTTGAGTGTTTAAACTTTCCAATGATCCTATTCAATTCAATTCAATTTACATTTAATTGTATAGCACCTTTTCACTTTACACATTGTTTCAAAGCAGCTTTACAGAAAGTCCACATTACAATTTAGAGTGATCTGTTATCAAAGGTAACTGCAGAAATCACAGTTAGCTAAAAATGGGTTAATTTAAACTGTAATAATAATTTAAGGCAGAAACAATGAGCTCATGAAGTAACGAATACTTGATGACATTTAGAACGATGCTGTATTGGTGCATGTTGATTCAGAGATGCGTTACCTGAAGTCTTTGCAGGAGTTGGCGTCGTCGTCGATCCTAGTTTATGATGATTACTGAAATATGTGTTTGGGGAAAAGGCAAGCATTGTGTAGCCTTAACCTCGTGCGTCCTCCAGGCCATCCAGAGATGGAGGGAAGCGAAGCAGAGAGAGAGAGATCAGCAGAGAGATCAGCAGGAGCGAGCCGGAGCCGAGCCGGACCCGGAGCAGGAGCAGGAGCGGCTGAAGCAGGAGCAGGAGCAGAGACGCAGGGAGGCGTCTGAGAGACTGGAGAACTGGAGGAGCCGGAGAACACAGGAGCGCGAGCAAGAGCAGGAGCAGCGGCTGAGGAACCAGATCCTGCAGAGAAGAAGAGCTAAAGAAGAGCAGCGGCGCCGGCTGGAGCTGAAGATGCGGCTCGAGGCTCTCCTTCAGCAGAAGAAGGAGGAGGAGGACCGACGTCTGATGGAGGAGGAGGAGAAGAGGAGAGTGGAGAGAGAGGAGAGACAGCGCGGGGCGAACGAGGCCATCAGACGCTTCCAGGACAGAGTGAGTTTGTGTGATCATCATCCTGAGATCTGAGAACCCTGAGATCTGTGTGATCATCCTGAGATCTGATCATCCTGAGATCTGATCATCCTGAGATCTGTGTGATCATCCTGAGATCTGATCATATTGAGATCTGTGACACTGAGACACCATTCCCTGTTGTTTCTCTCCTCAGGATTCAGTTTGTCTGGAGGAAAAGCTTCAGGAGAAACAGAGTAAAGAGCAGGAGCGCTGGGAGCGGCAGAGGATGCTGGAGAAGCTCAAGGAGAAGGTTTGATGAGTCAAGCTGATCATATGGACTTATTTTACACACACAGCGCTAGATATTGTTCGAGATATTGTTTCACAGCAGCTTCACAATGATAAACAGAATCAAAGACCAAACTTCATTAAATATGAGAGAATTCTGATTCTACTGTTCTAAAAACACAATAGAGTCCTTATTCGGTTCCACTTCATTTCGGAGTCCACTTTAGACATCCTACTAACTATAAATAACTTTGCAACTACATGTCAACTAACTCTCATTAGAGTATTAGTAGACTGTTAGGTTCGGGTTGGGTTAGGGTTAGGGTTAGGTTAGGGTGGGTTAGGGTGGGTTAGGGTTAGGGTTCGGGTTAGGGTTAGGGTAGGGTTAGGGTTAGGGTTCGGGTTAGGAGTAGAACACATTAGGACTATTGAAATAAAGTGTTACCCATTATTCAGATCGACTCAGCTCAGTTTTGTTCTCGTCAGTGCAGTCAGAACAATAACCCGACTGGATATGAAGAGCCATTCAAAACAAACAAACTCCTGCATGTGTGTCAGGTTGAGGTGAGCCGCGATCCCGCCAGACTGTGGAGGCGCACGGAAGTCTGGGAGCAGCGCATGAGGAACATCGGCCCGTCGGGATCAGGACCCGCTCCGCTGCTGCACACCTTTCACAGGTACAGGAGATCGTTAGGGTATCACTGCTGATCTGGAGATCATAATGAGCTCGTTAGGGTATCACTGCAACGATTTAGATGAACAATTGATTAACCAATGGCAGATAAAGCAGAGTCCCAGTAAAACAGATTCTTCTGTAAAGTTACATTTATTCAATGATTTCTATGAACATTGACATATTTTATAAATTCACACTGTAGGATTACACTTAATAACGATGATGTCTGAATGAACATCTAACCCTAACTCATGCAATTATTCTGCTCAATTCTGGTGGCCCATCTTACCCCAAAGGTCCAATTTTATTGTTTCCTTTTCAAATAAAAACAATATTTTTAGTCCACAAATCCCTCATTAAAACACAAACCTTTTAGGCTAAATGCAACAAAATACAACGTTGAGACAGAATTAGACGAGTTTAACTCTTTTAACGAACTGGATCTTCTGATATTGAGATGAAGAGCGTCTGCGCTGGACTGTGTCATCATCGCCTTCATCATTCATATCGTTTCCCACCAGCTTTTCAAGGACTAAAGTGCCTCTAAAACTCATTTAATGTGAAACAGGCTCATGATATTGTGTGATTATTACAGTCCGGTTCTGGAGATCCACCATATAAACGAGTTTACTGACACATCTGTTCCTCTTCTTTCAACCTCTTCTAATTCCTGTTGATAACAATGACTTATATGGTTTTTTTTATTGACAACTATTGAAACAATGGCTTCTAATAAATTATTGCTGAAAGCAGACGTTTGTGCCTATAGAATCAGATTCAACTGTGGGTTATTGACAATATTGCAAACTCGTTATGTGTGTACACACACTGCTTATTCTGTGAGTGTGTTCTGTTTCTCTGGTGATCCTGAGCTGATGATGATGTGTGTGTGTGTGTGTGTGTGTGTGTGTGTGTGTTTTCTCCGCTCAGGGCTGTTCCAGCATGGAGACAGGACTCGTGAAAGAGCCTCTGCACTTCTTCCCGCAGCGAATGAACTCAAATGTTCGGAGTTTAGGGAAGTTTTTCTTCAGGATAATGGAGATTTGCAGTCTTGCAGAGTTTCCGTGAGCAGCAGCAGCAGCAGAGACTCTTATTTTGGCGCGTGTTTGCGCACCGGAAGCGGAAGTGTCTCGCCGACAGGAGTGTTTCCCTGATGCTGCTGTTGTGGTGATGATGATGATGATGGCGGATTTTGATCAGGTAGATTTTCTGCGCGAGCGGCACGTGCGGTTCTTCCAGCGCTGCATGCACGTGTTGCCCGAGAGATACGCGCCGTACGAGACCAGCAGGTAACACACACACACACACACACCAGAGGGAGAGAGACACTGACAGCGCTTCACTCTCTCTCTCACACACACACACACACACACACACACACACACACTCCTCTGACTGTGATGAAACTGTATCCGTGTGTGTTTCTCCTGCGTTGAGTTGTGAACTGCCGCAATGAGAGCAAATATAAAAGTGTTTACTGTCACAATCTAATCTGTGTGTTCTTCATTTCATTTTCATCGATCAATGGCTGATCATTATAGATGTAGTTTATGGTGTACAGCCACGATTATACTGTGATTAAACACTGAAGTCACATAATAAACACTGGATGTCATGACGTGGGCTCACTGTCCTTAAAGAGAAAGGCAATAATATCTCTGTATTATTTTTACCATTTGGCTTAATGATAATATTAATAATAATAGTTCAGTGATAATAAACAATTTCAAATAAAAAGTGCTGGTTCTTATGCCATGTGAATACAAATTATTATTGTGTATGTTTTTAAATGGAGCCCCTTTTGTGAAAGGGAAAGTTCACCCTAAGATGAAGATGATGTCGTCCTTCATCATGCAAGTCAGCGCTGTTTGTCTCAAACACTCTTCAAAATATCTTTTGTGTTAAATAGAATAAAGTCACACACACACAGGTTTGGAACAACATGATGAAATGATGACAACATTTTAATTTTGGGGTGAACCCAATGATGATTATGCAGTTATAATTGTATATTAATATGATTATTGTTCTGCCAGCGGCTGTTTACTGTAATGTGGTGTATGACCTGTGTTTGACCTCAGATAGCCTGGACTTCAGCTCCACTGTCACGCAATAAACTCCATTCTTCCACACTGTTACTGGTTACTGGTGTTCTTCCACACTGTTACTGGTGTTCTTCCACACTGTCACTGGTGTTCTTCCACACTGTAACTGGTTACTGGTGTTCTTCCACACTGTTACTGGTTACTGGTGTTCTTCCACACTGTTACTGGTTACTGGTGTTCTTCCACACTGTTACTGGTTACTGGTGTTCTTCCACACTGTTACTGGAGCGTTTAATACTTATAGAAGTTCATGTAGACGATCAGTACTGATTATGTTGTTACGTTGTGTTTTTATCTATTCTCTCTAGGACTGTGTGCTTTATTTTAATCAAAATGTACTTATTTATATTTTAGAAATATTTAGTCCAATTTTTAAAGATATTAATTAAATCTTCAATATTATTTATTTGTATATTTTTTCCCAACTTTTCCTCGGTCAGTGTTTGCTCTTATTATCATGAGTCTGTGTTCATTTACAGCGCTGATGATTGACAGAAGGGCTGAACACACTCTTCCTCCCGCAGTGTTTATAGTGTGTGTGTGTGTGTGTGTGTGTGTGTTTCCGCACAGGTTGACTATAGTGTTCTTCGCCCTGTCGGGTCTCGATGTTCTCGATGCCTTGGATGTCGTGGATAAACCCGGACTGATCGAGTGGATTTATTCTCTGCAGGTTCTTCCCACCGATGACAGTAAGATCTAGATCTCACACACACACACACACACACACACACATACACTCATACACACTGTTTCCTGTTTAAAACAGTGTCAGTGAGTTGTGTGTATTTTTTGTAGTCACGTGTGTTTTCTCTCCAGAGTCTAATCTCAGACGCTGTGGCTTCCGCGGTTCCTCACACATCGGAGTTCCCTACAACACTTCAAAGGTACACACACACACACACACACACACACACACACACACACACACACACACACACACTAACCCGACCCCTGAACCTACCCATCGCACACACAGACAGCAGGGGGCAGAACTGAGCAGAGAATGGACCACAGATGATGAACTTATTAAAATCTGAGATTGTTACTCCACAAACACTTTAGTTGATTGTTCAAAACTTCAGTCAAAGTATTTTATCTAAAGCAAACATTATAAAGCTTGTATATGTTGTTAAGCTGCTGATCTATAACCCGTGCCCGTTGCTGATCGATGTATGACCTGCAGGGTTCGGGTCCGGCTCACCCGTACGACAGCGGACACCTGGCCATGACCTACACCGGCCTCGCCTGCCTCGTGATCCTGGGGGACGACCTGAGCCGCGTCCGCAGAGAGGCCTGTCTGGAGGGCCTGAGAGCTCTGCAGCTGGAGGACGGCAGGTCAACGCCACACACACACCTCACACACACACCTGACCCTCACACACACACCTGACCCTCACACACACCTCATACACACCTCACACACACACACCTGACCCTAATACACACACACCTGACCTTCACACACACACCTGACCCTTACACACACCTCACATACACACCTCACACACACCTGACCCTAATACACACACACCTGACCCTTACACACACCTCACATACACACACACCTGACCCTCACACACACCTCATACACACACACCCCTCACACACACACCTGACCCTCACACACACACCTGAGCCTCACACACACCTCATACACACACACCCCTCATACACACACCTGACCGTAACACACACCTTACACACACCTGGCCTACCTCCTTCTCCTTACACGGGCTCTGAATGTGTGTGTTTGTTCCTGCAGCTTCTACGCCGTCCCAGAAGGCAGTGAGAACGACATGAGGTTCGTGTACTGTGCCGCCTGCATCTGCTACATGCTGGACGACTGGACTGGGATGGACTGCCAGAGAGCCATCGACTACATCCGGAGGAGCACAGTGAGTCCCACAATCCCCTCCTCCTCAGCGCCCTGACCTTCAGCGGACAGGGTCAGTCGGGGTCAAAGGTCGGGCCGAGGGGAGCGTGATGTAATCCAGCAAATCCACTCCCCGACCCCGGCAGGTTCAGGACAGGCGGGGCAGAGTTAGTGCAGTCAGTGCAGGTCATCAGAAACATGTGACATGTTTCAGCACACACACACACACACACACACACACACGTCACTAGAGAAGATGTTTTGAAGAGTGTGAACAGACTCACTGTATGCAATCTTGTGTTTGACAGAAGCAAGAGTCGTGCAGGTCAGGCTGAACTCTGTTGATCTCTAATGAACCGCAGTTTCACTGATCCGCTCTTCCTCTTCTTCCTCCTGCAGTCGTATGACAGTGGGATTGGTCAAGGAGCCGGACTGGAGTCACATGGTGCGTTTCCTCTGTTTTACACACACTGAACACTGCTGATAAAAGCCTGATCGCTCGGTGAACACCTTCCCAGGATCTCGTGTAGGAAGTGCTTTCAGCATCAACATTCACTGTTTGGACGGAGTGTGTGAAATATTTTACTGATGTGATTCTGGCAGATTCGGAAAGTGTGTGTGAGTGTATGTCCAGTGTTTGCAGTTTGGTTAAATTAGTAAAACTGCATCATTATTACTGAAAAAAACTTTCACAAGGCAAATGAAGTGGGATGAACGTTAATCTTGCAAATGAGATCCGACTGTTTAATATTGACCGAAGGATCAGACTGTTGAACACGTTTTACTGGACCGTCCTGCTTTTATTCAGACGTTTCAGTAATAGATGTTTCTAAAGTGGTTGAGCATTTTAGAATTTCTATCAAATATAATTTTGTTTGCCATGAAGATAGCCTTTACGCTCATATGGCATTTTAAATATATATACTGAATGTAACTTGCATAAGTTTTAGTTCACAGAACATTTGGAGCCGGGCATCAGTTCAGTGAGTGAGTCGGAGTTGATTCAGTGATTCAGTGATTCAGTGGCGGTGTGGTGAAGTGTTGAGTCCCAGCTCAGAGTTCGAGCGATCCCATTGGCTCGAAGCACGTTTATGGGTAATCGCTTTAGTGCCTGGTAACAAATCAGATATAACTTTATTTTGTAAGTCGCTTGAACTACGTTATAATGACCATTAATGTCTTTTAACTTATGTTTCATGGACTCGTAATTAACCGAAGCTGTAGACTGTGAAAGTAAACATTGCTCGTTCGTAGTGTTTTTTAGTTAGCTTAGATAGTAGCATAGCACACAGCTATCCCACATGGTTAGAGGTGACGTTTTTATCTACGATATTTTTCGATAAAAAAACTTTGATAACAAATATGATGCAAGCATAATTCCGTTTAAGAAATAGTTATGACATGCTTGTAATTCTTGGATTCCGGCGTTCTTGCTCGGTGTCCTCGCGGGTGTCCGACTTCCGAGCGGGGAAATCCGACGAGAGGGGCGCGTTGGTGCGTGTTGCTAGGCAACGTCTGTAGTCGGAACTCCGGCACAAATAAATAAAGGAACGCAGCATTAGATCAGGCGTACCACCGAGGTCCTCAGCTGGGACTCAACACTTCACCCGACCGAACCCGTCTCTCTTCCTCAGGTGGCTCCACCTTCTGTGCCGTGGCGTCCCTTTGCATGATGGGAAAGCTGCAGGAGGTGTTCAGTGAGCGCGAGCTGAACCGGATCCGGCGCTGGTGTATCCTCCGACAGCAGAACGGCTTCCACGGCCGGCCCAACAAACCCGTGGACACCTGCTACTCCTTCTGGGTGGGAGCGACGCTGGAGGTGCGTGTGCCTTGTTACCACGGCGATGAGGCTCATCCAATCAGAAGGACTGCTGTAGTTTTAAATTTATCATCTGGTTGTTATATACGTGTTAAATAACCTGCAGTGGTCGTATGTAACATGTCCTGAAGTCGTGTTTACCCGCCCCTTTATTCTGCGCATGAATTATTATAATGAGGAATATTGTGACGTGTTCATTCGAGAGAAACTGGAGACTAATGAAGGGTCTGTCGGGGGTGTGTGTGTGTGTGTGTGAGCAGTCCTAACATGCTCCTCTTGCGTCCCACAGCTTTTAGATATTTTCCAGCTCACCAACTTCGAGAAGAACCGGAACTACATCCTGTCGACGCAGGACCGTCTGGTGGGCGGCTTCGCTAAATGGCCGGACAGTCACCCAGGTGAGGTTACAGGTCACAGCTGCGCTCACTGCGCGGAGGAGCTTTTGTGTGCCGTCAGTCGAAACCAGTGTAACTCAATACAGGAGCTGAGAACATGTGACCGAGGAGACTCCAGCGACGGGAGATGAGCTTCACTGTTGCTCCAATAATCACTGACCTGTGAAATGTGCTTTATTATCATCAAACTGCAGAAGAACACACACACACACACACACACACACACACACTTACTGAACACACACACACACACACACACACACTTACTGAACACACACACACACACACACTTACTGAACACACACACACACACACACACACACACACACACACTTACTGAACACACACACACACACACTTACTGAACACACACACACACACACACACTTACTGAACACACACACACACACTTACTGAACACACAAGCATGAATACACGCATAAACACATGAACACACTCTGAACACACAGATGCATGAACATGCATAAACACACACACACACACACACACACACACACACACACACACACACACGCGCGCGCATGAACACACACACACACACACACACACACACACATGAATGCAAGCATAAACACTGAACACGCATGCTCCTCCTGTTTCCTCTGTTTCTTCTGCTCCTACTTCTTCTCCTCCTCCTCCTGCTCCTCTGCTCCTCCTTCTGCTCCTCTGCTCCTCCTGATGGTCCTGTTTCTCCTGTGTCTCCTCCCGATTCTCCTGTCTCCTCCTATTCTTCTGTTTCTCCTCTGCTCCTTCTGTTCCTCTGCTCCTCCTTCTTCTCCTCCTCTCCTCCTTCTGCTCCTCCTTCTTCTCCTCCTCTTCTCTGCTCCTCCTCCTCTGCTCCTCCTGATGGTCCTGTTTCTCCTGTGTCTCCTCCCGATTCTCCTGTGTCTCCTCCTATTCTTCTGTTTCTCCTCTGCTCCTTCTGTTCCTCTGCTCCTCCTTCTTCTCCTCCTTCTGCTCCTCCTTCTTCTCCTCCTCTTCTCTGCTCCTCCTCCTCTGCTCCTCCTGATGGTCCTGTTTCTCCTGTGTCTCCTCCCGATTCTCCTGTGTCTCCTCCTATTCTTCTGTTTCTCCTCTGCTCCTTCTGTTCCTCTGCTCCTCCTTCTTCTCCTCCTCTCCTCCTCCTCCTCTCCTCCTTCTTCTCCTTCTTCTCCTCCTCTCCTCTGCTCCTCCTCCTCTGCTCCTCCTGATGGTCCTGTTTCTCCTGTGTCTCCTCCTGTTCCTCTGCTCCTCCTTCTGTTCCTCTGCTCCTCCTCTCCTCCTTCTTCTCCTCCTCTGCTCCTCCTGATGGTCCTGTTTCTCCTCCTGTTCCTCTGCTCCTCCTGTTCCTCTGCTCCTCCTTCTGTTCCTCTGCTCCTCCTGTTCCTCTGCTCCTCCTGATGGTCCTGTTTCTCCTGTGTCTCCTCCTGTTCCTCTGCTCCTCCTTCTGTTCCTCTGCTCCTCCTTCTTCTCCTCCTTCTTCTCCTCCTCTGCTCCTCCTGATGGTCCTGTGTCTCCTCCTGTTCCTCTGCTCCTCCTTCTGTTCCTCTGCTCCTCCTCTCCTCCTTCTTCTCCTCCTCTGCTCCTCCTGTTCCTCTGCTCCTCCTCCTGTTCCTCTGCTCCTCCTGTTCCTCTGCTCCTCCTCTCCTCCTCTGCTCCTCCTGATGGTCCTGTTTCTCCTCCTGTTCCTCTGCTCCTCCTGTTCCTCTGCTCCTCCTGTTCCTCTGCTCCTCCGCTCCTCCTGATGGTTCTGTGTCTCCTGTGTCTCAGACCCCCTGCACACGTACTTCGGCATCTGTGGCCTGTCTCTGCTCGGGGAAGCGGACCTGCGTAAGGTTCATCCGGCTCTGAACATCAGCGTGCGGGCGTTCGAGACTCTGCAGCAGCTGCACGGCTCCTGGAGGCAGAACCAAAACCAGACCCGCTCGTGACCTCTGACCTCAGCATAATCCCCACGTGACTGATGAATAAATCAGCAGATAGCGTAATCAATTATTAAAGGTAAAGCTCGCTCTGTAGTCGTAGGCCACAAGACCCCTGCGCTCCGGCCAGACCCACCCCTCCTTCAAGCTGTTTATTCTGATCTGTTTCTGCCTTATGAACACGGAGGAGGCCAACAGGAGTCCTGGGGTCACACACTCTCTGATTTACACTAGCAACGTCAGCCTAATGTTTCTGTTACTCTTCATGTGAAATCATGTTCCTTCAGTGTCCTCTCATGAATGTGCCTCAGATATCTCTACTGTGTGTGTGTGTGTGTGTGTGTGTTATACATATGGCATTCGGACACTTGAATGTGTTTCAAGGATCAAAAAATGAAGTTATTTTTTCTATGCTGTAATATCAAGTGTAGAAGTGGAACTGCTCATGTTTTATGATGTAAAGTTACGCACTTGCAAGTGTCAATAAACGAACAGCTTTTATCATGTGTGAGAAACGAGCCTTTCTGACGTGAGACGCACGAGTCTGATGAGCAGAGATGCCCTCGGTCAGCCCAGCACACACTTTATTCATCAGCTCCTCCTCGCTTCTGGACCTTCTACACCTTATATTAGATCTACTCTTAATGATGTGCTTATGATGAGTCATATCTTCATTAAAGCGTGTGTGTGTGTTCGTAAGCAAAGATTCCCTGTTAAACCATTAACTTAGAATCTGATGGACTTTGAAAATAAGGGCAATTAAATGTCCTTAATCAGAAAACAAGACGGATACATCAGTGTGTGTGAGGTGTTGGATTGACTGACAAAGGTCTTAATGTTTAATATTCAGATTATTTCTGCAGGCATGAGTCTCAGAGATATTCTGACTGTAAATGCCGTCCAGACGAATACTCTTCCTTTCATCTGGATCTCGCAGAGGAAGGCTCTTGACTGTGTTATAAATATAAACACAACTGTGTGTAAAGAGGACGATTGTGTCAAATTATGGGTCAAAGGTTGGATGTAAAGTCCAAAAAAATGAGGACTTAATAAACATCTGAGGAACAAATACTATATGAAAGCACAATATGAAAGAGCTGTGCAATTTCTTTTTTACTCCGTTTCAAAGTCCTGCTTGTACTGAGATCTACACATACATGCCACACAATATACTAAATCTGTTATAGTTAAAACAATAAATGAACCACATATGTCATGAAAGCATATATGACATGTTCAATGAGGAAAATCATGGAAGCGAAGATCATGTGAATACACACGTGTCGCAGCCCATGGTCTTCGCCTGTAATACAGTATTTATTGTAATAAACACTGTTTATGTCCCACTGACTGTTCCTGGAGTCAGAGCTGTTGATCTGGTGTCTGATTATCTGTGACATCATGAAAGTTTTATTAGATGGCAGAGCCACACAAAGAGCTGTCAGTCCCGCGAGGCCACGCCCACAGACCGGGCGAGGGGCGGAGTCCCGTGTGCGCGTCACCCTCGGCTGAGTGAGTGAGGTTCCCGTGCTCGCGACAGGCTGTGCTGTGATGAGGAGGATATCGAGGAGAACTCATAACCATCTCCTCGTCTCGGGCTCGGTCATCGCTCATCAGGATGTCGGACTCGGAGATGTCCGAGTTCGCGAGTATAGTGGAGCGCATCGAGAGAGGCGAGGTGAGATGATAAAACACTCGAGCCTGCAATCATGCGATCATTAATCACTGTATTATGCTGATGCTTCATGCTGGTCTTTCTCTGTCATGGAGAAATAATATTCGCTCATTCATCCGCATCAATATCCCGTGCAAATGACGTCGCTTCGTTGTTTTAAATCATTTATAATATAAAAGAAGAAAAATAATTAGTTTATAATATTGTGCACTTAAGAGCTCGAAGAATTTGGCGTCGACTGGGATGTGAATGATGATGTGTATAATGTATAAATCAATGATGTGCTGTTCTGTTGCGGACCCCGCCCCTTATTTAAATACTAAATGGTTTCGCTGCAGGGTTGCTATAGTGACGGGCAGTGACTCCGCCCACATTTCGGCTTGTTGTCCACGGGGTCGCGCCGCTCGCGCATTAACGCGCGTCACGTTGTTCGATTCATCCTCTAATTGTGCCAATCTCTCATTTGCGAAGTTGAAACAGGAACGCGGAGTTTGTCTTTCTTCTGCTCGCGATGTCCCGGCGAAGCTCGATCCTGGTGAGTCCGCCTCAGCTCTTCATCCTCGACAATGAAGCTGCTATTGTTTGCTGAGAGAAAGTTGAAGCGATTGTTTTGAGTGTAGTTTGTAAACGAGGACAATAAAGGCATTGTGATTGTAGACCTTCATCCTCGTCGCAGGTTTTTCTCAACTAGACAGTCGTACTTTTAGGCTTAGAATAGAAATGCGAAAGTGAACAGTGGAAGTTCGTTACTTCCCCAAGCGCGCGTGAGTCGCGTCTGAATCAATCATCTGAATCAATCATCTGACTCCTCTGAATCATCTCGCGCTTCTCTAACTGCGGTGAAACTCTTCTCGTCGGAGTTTTGATGCCGAATTCTGAACGTTTTCACAGTTGTGTGTGTGTGTGTGTGTGTGTGTGTGTCGACAGGTGCCGATGAAGAGCATCGAGAGGGAGCTGATCTGTCCGATCTGTAAAGAGTTGTTCACTCAGCCGCTCATCTTGCCCTGTCAGCACAGTGTGTGTCACCGGTGTGTTAAAGACGTGCTCCTCCCGAACCATGAGGACTCCTTCAGCACCGACGCGGGCTCAGAGAGCTCGAACCCGGGCAGCCCTCGCTCCAGAGTCCCGTCCCCGAGCACGGAGAGACTGGACCGGCTGGTGCGATCAGGTAATCCGACTTGACTCCGGATAAACAACACTCAGAAACCTATAAATCACTCGCATTACTTGGTTTGAGGCACCTTCTTCCATCCAAAAGACAGGCAGTTTGATTAACCCTCTGGGTTCTGAGGGGTTTAGGGGTCATTGAGATGTTTTGACA